CCGCAAAGATACAAATGCCGATAAATAATTCCCGTCAGGTGCAATGAGTCTCCACCAAATACACAACTGATAGAATAATGACAATTTGATAACTAATTTTTGGCGCGTGACAGTAAATTTCCCGAAATTGTCGTCGAATTTACTTCCAGCTAGACAAAACACTCTGATTGATTAATTGTTAATACTTCATTTGACCTAATACCGCCCCCTCTATCGTCAACCCTAACTCCAACCACTGACACATTCACCTCTTTTCTTCCAATAATGGAGCAACTAGAACTATAATCGTGATGGCTTTACTCTATAGTTTAAACTCCAAGTTTTGAATTTACAATGACGTATGCATAATGCGTTGCATTGTCATGGGATAATATCGCGTGAGTGTGTCGTCAAGCACGAAAGAAACTATATTTACCTGTGTGTGTGGAATCGAAGCCACTGCATTCGGTATTAATTCAGTATGCGACATGGGAAATGCAGAAATTAATTGCACGGAACTGTTATATTTGAGAGGATCCTAATCAGTTTCCGTGATAATAGCAGTTTCATACATTTTATTTTTATGAGAACAATTCTTCCACAGGTCATTTAGACTTTAAAACATCCAATACGTAAGGAATTCCGCAAATTTATCAATTCGTTCGTTCAATAAAAATTTATAATAACAATTTGTAATACTTCATATTTTTTATTTTCATTAAAAAAAAAATTTAATAGATTATTTAGACTTCAAAATTTCAATTCGCGAGGAATTCCAGAAATTTATCAATTCATTCTTCCAATAAAAATTTATATTATAAATTTTGAATATTTCATACATTTTATTTTTACGAAAAAAAAATTTTAATAGATCATTTAAACCTGAAAAACCTCAATACGTGAGGAATTCCACAAATGTATCAATTCCCTCATCTAATAAAAATTATTCAATATTCCCACAGGGAGGGAATAATGACGTCACAACCCCCTGACATAATCTCATTTTTCTGGACATTCAAGGTCATCTGAGCGTTTTGATATGACAATTTGGAATATTTCATTTTATAATATAAAAAATATGTACAGTTCATCTTTGAATTCAGACGTCATTTGAACTGAACTACAGAATAAAAAAAATTGTAAAAAAAATCATAAAATATTGCCATGTCAGGACCGCAGAGACCTCTATTCCTCGCGATGGCATATTTCCACGATATGTCCAGCAAATGGTAGAGAGCGACTGTGTTAGTTACACATGATCGTGAGTTTCTCTTTTACGTCAGCAGTCGGTGAAGAAGAAAACATCGTATTTGTGTGCATCGAAAAAATCCATCCTATGCAAAATAAATAATTGTCTTCTCCCCTCTTTTGAGAAGTACTGGGCTGAAAATCTTCCGCGTTTAGAGTACACAGAACCCTTAAATTTCAATCAGAGCCATGCGTCCTGATCGGAAACGGATCCTGCACAGCGAGAAATATTTTTAAAAAATTATGTATCTTTTCCGTAATTCCGGAGCGAAATGTGATTGTAAGAAAATTCACAGAACTGTCACGGAATTTGTCCGGAGCGTTCTGTAATTTTTATCTGAATCTCCTGTGAAAAATTTCGATACCGTCACGTAAATTTTTCGAGTCGATTCCGTAATCGTTGAGTGAATTATCAGTTCCGTAATTTTTACTAAACATTTCTCTCCGTCTGTTTGTTTGGCTCAGATTGTATGAAATTTAAGATTTTTAGGGTGGACTAAACGGAAAGGATTCCAGCCCTGATACCCATTCAGGATATTCCATTTTTGTAATAAAAAATTCTTAAAAAATTTGAGTTGCTCTAGTAGAATGTCGTCAAGACGGCAACCTGTCGCTTCAAAAAAGGGAGATATGTTGCGGAGCGCTTGGAGCGAATGAATAGCTCCTCCCCTTTCCCTGGAAGTGTAAATCGAGTGACAATTGAATGATGTATTGATTATGTGGAGTCATAAAAATAAAACCATGCCTTAAATTAAATAAAACTCCCTCGTCCACTGCAGCAGAATGAAACAGAATAAAAATAGGAACAAAGGAAAAATCCTACCCACACGGAAAAATATCCATTTTGAGAATTGCATGTTGTAAAATATGGATTCATTTAATAATAAATGACTTTATTAAAAGAATTTGGGGGGACGTGAATGAATAAAAAGTATAAAAAGTGACAGAACGTGTCCGCGAACTTAAAACAGAGATAAAAGAATGACGGGACAGAACGAGGCGATCACACATGAAGGTGATTAAGAGCGAGGAGGTGAACGAATACACAATAATTTTACTTATTCATCCACATGTATACCCCCTAATATAAAACCCCAGGTGAGAAAAACATGGGGAGCAATATTACGTTACAAATCAATTTTAAAGTTACAATCCTCATTAGCTGCTCAAAAACAAATGCTATAAGGGCGGTTATGATGATTAACAGTACATATTTTTCGTTTGACTACTGTCAGCGACACAATGTATCCTGAATTAATACTCGATTAACAAGAGGATTCTTACAAAAAGAAAGATTGGGGTTGGAATGAATAAATGAAGACTTGAAGTGCTGAAACATAAAATAGAGCATCAAAATACGCAACAATATTTTATAGGGTAAACAGGTGAATAGCTGGATGGTTAAGAAAATGTTGAAGTGATCAATCAGTTTAAGTCATCTTAGCTCCCACTTGAATTTTCGTTGAATAACTCGGAATTTAAGAAAGCGAAATTTTTGTAAGATCTTTTTCGATGGTCTTCACTTTTCTTTACAAAAAAGTTTTTTAGGAAAATTTTGCTAACTCCTTTAGAATTTGAGATATTCATCGAGAACTCGCGCTAGAATGGAATTGATTCAAACCGTTTGACCACTTCACTACTAAATTAAATGAGGGAAAAGTGGAATTTCGTCCAAATGGCCAATGCATGGACGGTCTGGAGTAGGGATGTGAAATGACCGTCATTTTTCAATTCGGTCAGGTCAGGCAAAATTGACCGTTTTCTGACCATTTTCTGACACCGGGATAATTCCCCATGGAAAATGACCGTCATGAACAACCAACGTCAAAAATTTGAGAAAATGACTAAAATTCCTCTATATAGACGCAAATTGACGGTCATTTTCTTTTTGGTAATTTTTTCGGTCAGATTTTTGGTTATTTTATTTCATTAGTTAGGAATTGAATCGCATTTCATAATTTAAAGTTAATGTTTATTGGAACGAATTACGAAACAATCATAAATTCGACATTCGAGATCACTCGTGATAAACTCATGAACTTAATAAACGTCAACAAAATTAATTAAATATATATTTCGAGAAAAAACACTTCATCACGTGAATATATATAAGTGTTATTATTGATAATGATAATAATAAGTACAGTTTTCATTCTATTATTTATAGAATATTCAATAAAAGGTCAAATCGTCCAGGTATTGGCCCGAGTCCACACTGTTAAAAATTTATTGAAATTTCAGTCACAGCGTCGTCTGAATTTTTGATGTTGTAAGGTTGAATTCAATTTCAAATGAAAGCGGTCACTAAATTTCTCATTCATCTTGAAAATTCAAGAAAATGTGATTTTTCATGTTAAATAATCATTGATTTTTCAATAAAAGCTCGAATTTCCAAACTTATCATGAAAATTGAACATCACATAAAATTCAATTTTCAATATATTGAGATTTCAGAAAAGTTGTTGACTAAATTTTCAAAATTTTCCAGCTTTTTCAGTGCCGTATGGATCTGAAGATCGAGAATTACTTGAATAATCAAGAAATTAACTGATTCGTCAACGAAGAAGTATACAGAAATTTCGCGTCACTTTGTCGTTGTTAAAAACTTCAAGCTTTTCACTTAAAATTTCAAGACTAATTTTCTAACACACTGTTAGAAATTTCTTGAAATTTCAGTCACAATGTCATTTGTATTTTCCATGTTGTGAGTTTGAATTCAATTTCAAATGAATATGTTCACTAAATTTCTTTTTCATCTTGGACATTCAAGAAAATGTGATTTTTTATGTTAAATAATCATTCATTTTTCAATGAAAGCTTGAATTTCCAAACTCGTCATGAAAATTGATCATCACATGCAATTCAGTTTTCAATAGATTGAGATTTCAGAAAAGTTGTTGCCTGAATTTTCAAAATTTTCAAGTTTTTTCAATGCCGTATGGTTCTGAAGATCGAGAATTACTTGCATAATCAAGAAATTAACTGATTCGTCAACGAAGAAATATACAGAAATATCACGTCACTTTGTCGTTGTTAAAAATTTCAAGCTTTTCACTTCAAATTTCAAGAATAATTTTCTAACAGTGCAGCTATTGGCTTGCTCATCCTGTACGAGTGTCTCTACACATTTTCTCCAAATTAAAAAAAAATCCTCTCGCCCGCCGCCCCACAATTCAAATACTCCCGCCACAGTGCGTCGCCCCTCGGCAATCTCCGTGCAGCCGGTCTAGCTATCCCCCGGGGTCCACGTAGCAAACCCCAGGGAGCCCCGCCCTGCGCGCCCAACCTAGTCGTCGCCACCGTCAACGTCCCCCGTGAAAACAGCTTCACTTCTCAAAAAAAAATCCCCCACCCCACCCCTCACCAATGCCAAACCGCGGCGAAATATTTTTTCGCAATTGAATAAACAAAAATTTAACAGCCAAACTTTTCTGGCCCGAATGCAAAAAGCCCTTCATGTTTTTTCATCTTTCAGAATTTCGGGAAATATAGCCGGCGTGTCTACAATTGTCGGCTGTTGCTCACCCGGCGGCTCTCCCCCCTCCAACCGCGCCCCTCGATCATCAAGTCGCCGACAGTTACCGCTGCCCCCCCCCCCAAACCATCC